CAGGGTCGCTATGGGTCGGAACCGACTCGACGGCACTTAACAACAACAATTGACAGTAGGCAAGATGTGGGAGCCACACAGAAACTGGTGGCTGTTATTGGAGGCAGGATGAGGAATGCAAAGAAACTCACTGCTTGGTCCTTATTTATCTTTTTGCCTGAAAAAGGTCTCATTTTGTGCTGAAAACGTCCTGTATGCTTGCTAAGGGCCAAGTGCCTGAAAAGTTAAGGTGCAGGCTTCCTCATGTTCCAGACTTTGACTTGAGCTTAGTTTTCAACTCATCCCAGGTGTGACCAGATCTATTTTGGGGAGTGGGAACAGGTGGTGACACTGGTCAGTCTCATGGGGTCATGGGGTCCAACATTAAGCTTCAGGCAGGGGTGAGGTCAGTCCATGTAAGTAGCTTTCAGAACCTCCTCAGGTGCTAGGATTTAGAGGAGGAACAAGGTGATAGTGGTGGTTGTGTGCCACACAGTTTCCGGCTCATAACGACCCTGTACAGGGTTTCTGAGGCTATAAATCTTTATGGGAGCAGAAAGCCTCATCTTTCTCCCAAAGAGCAACTGGTAGATTCGAACTTCTGACTTTTGCAGTTAGTAGCCCGGTTCACAATCCACTACGCTACCAGTTGTTGTTGTTATGTGCCGTGGAGTTGGTTCTGACTCATAGCAACCCTGTACAGGGTTTCCAAGGTTGTAAATCTTTACGGGAGCAGAAAGCCTCATCTTTCACCCATGAAACAGCTGGTAGTTTCGAACTGCTGACCTTGAGGTTCACAGCCCTATTCTTAACCACTACGCTACCAGTGGGGATATTTATTTTTACCCCATTGCTTCTGTAACAAATTATCACAAGCTTAATGGCTTAAAACAATACACATTATTTTATAGTTAGAGAATCAGAAGTCCAAAATGGGTCTCATTTGCTAAAATCAAGGTGATGGTAAGGCTGTGTCCCTTTCTGCAGGTTCTACGGGAACCTTTTTCTTTCTGTGGTTGTGTTTTGTTTTGTTTTTCAATTGTGATTTGGATGAAAGTTGGCCTTCCATTTAACCATTCCTACATATTTTGTTTTGTGACACTGATTACAATTTCCATAATGTAACAGCATTCTTCCCACTTCCACCCTGTGTTTCCCATTTCCATTTGTTCTTCTTTCCTCTTCCAGCCTTTTGAGTTTTATCACTGGGCAAATGCTGCCCTTATGATCTGTGTCTGATTGTTCTAAGGCGTGCATACCTCATTGGTGTTATTGTTCACCTTATCAAGCTCTCTAGAGTTTGGCTGAAAGTTGAGCCACAGGAATGAGTTCCAGACTTGAAGCACATAGTCTCGGAGATTCCATTAATCTTTTCTCAGGCCAGTAAGCTAGGAGTTTTTTAACATTTTGATTTTAGTTTCACCTTTTTCTCCCTCTCTGTCCAGGACCTCCTATTGTGATCCCTTTCAGAGCGGTCAACAGTGGTAGCCAGGTACCACCTAGTTTTACTGGTTTCAGGGTAGTTAAGGCTGGGCTTCATGGGGTCCTTTAATCCTTTGAACTAATTGTTTTCTTGCCTTTTCTTGCTTCTAGAGATGCTCTACAATCTTGGTTCATGACATCCTTTCATTTTCAAAGACAATATTCAGTCAAGTCTTTTACACATTAAATGACTTTGACTCTTCTGTTTCTTCTTCTACATTGAACCCACTTCAATAATCTCCCTATTTAAAGTATGCCAATTAGTAGCCTTAATTCCATTTGCCACCTTAGTCCCTGCTTGCATGTAGCATAACACAGTCACAGGTTCTGGGGATTAGGACATGGATATCTTGGAGAGGCATTATTCTGCTTTTTCTAACAGCTTCTTCTAACAGCTGGGTCCAATTCTTAAAGTAAGTGGAGGGAGAAGCTCCCTTCTTGGAACTGTGAGTAGGGGTTGTTTGTTGTTGTTGTTGTCAGGTGCCATCGAGTCGGAACCGACTCATAGCGACCCCATGCACAGCAGAACGAAACAATGTCTGATGCTGGGCCAACCTCACTACTGCTGCCACACTTGACGCCATCAATGATGCCACCTGGCTGATCCATCTCGTTGGGGTCTTCTTCTTTTTCTCTGACCCTCCATCTTACCCAGCATGACATCCTTCTCCAGCGACTGTTCCCTCCTGACAATATGTTCAAAGTATGAGAGACAAAGCTTAGCCATCCTGGCCTCCAAGGAGCACTCTGGCTGCACTTCTTCCAAAACAGATCTATTGGTTCTTTTGGCAGTCCATGGCATTTTTAGTATTCTCCTCCAACACCACAACTCAAAGGCATCAATTCTTCTACGATCTTCCTTATTCACTGTCCAGCTTTCACATCCATATGAGGTTATTGAAAATACCATGACTTGGGTCAGGCGCACCTGAGTCCTCAAGCTGACATCTCTGCTCTTCAACACTTTAAAAAGTTCCTGTGCAGCAGATTTGCCCAATGCAATATGTCGTCTGATCTTGACTACTGCTTCCAAGAGTGTTGATAGTTGATCCAAAAAGAATGAAGTCCTTGATAACAAGGGGTTGTTTGGCAGATTCCAAATGAAGCCCTGGTCAAGCCCAGAGCCCAGCCCTAGCTGATACCCTCACTAAGCCACTGGTTTAGGTTAGATTTGGGAGAGCAGCTCAGTCAGGAACAAAGAAATGTGACATCATCAGAGTGAGTATAGAAGGTCTCCCAAAGACTTTGAGATAGGCTGAGACCCGAGGAGAATCTAAGGATGGGGGTGTTGGTAACACTGCTTGAATCAACAGGGGAAGGAGAGAGGGAGAGAAAATGTGAAGACAGCTTGGGAGGGTATCAGTTTTAGTCACAGAAATAACCACCTCTCTTGGGGAGAGTTAGAAGTGACCTGCAGCCAGAGGGAACTGGAACCTAGACAGTGGACACTTCCTGATACTTACCCCGTGTTGACTTGGCGTAATTTTTTTACTTCACCGAGTGACTTCTAGGCATTAGTTCTTTGGCATTAGTTGGACTGGGTTCAAATCCCACTGTGCCACTTAGAGGCTGTGTGATCAAGTAGTCTAACCACTCTGAACCTCTGGTTCCTTACTATTAAATAAGAATGATATCACCACTTAATTTACATTAGGAGACTTCATGTAACATTCTAGAGGAGGACGAGGATAAGAAAGTCTGAAAGAAGTCCCAGCATGAATTGGCAATAAGTCTAATATTGTCATCATGAGGCTGAGACAGGCATAAGGTTGAGTTTGTCCTTACCATAACTGGCAGTGTGAGTTTGGACAAGTTACCTAACCTACTTCAGCCCAACCATTGAATACATCTACGGCGTTTTTATGCATCCAAGTGGTATAATAATTAAGCTTTTGACTACTAATAGAAAAATTATCAGTTTGAACCCACCAGTCACTTCATTGGAGAAAAGATGTGGCAACCTGCTCCCCTAAAGATTACAGTATAGGGGAATTTATGGGACAGTTATACTCTGTCCTGTGGGGTCACTGTGATAGTTAAGGTTTTGTGTCAATGACTTGGCCAGGATTCTCAGTGGTTTAGCAGTTAAGATGTAGTAATACCCCATGATTTTATCTAATACAAGCCACTTCCTCCATGTGATCTGATGTGATGATCCTATGTATTGTAAATCCTGACTTCTATTAATGAGGTGAGAAGCAAGCTACAGGACTAAGTTGTATTTTGAGTCCATCTCTTCTGAGATATAAAAGGAGAGAGAAGTGAGCAGGAAAAGAGTGATTGCCTACCACCGAGAACGAAGAGCCAGGAGCGGACTGTGTCCTCTGGACCTAGGGTTTCTGTACTGTGAAGCTCCTAGATTCTCCTAGATCCTCTGATCCAGGGAAAAACTAATGCCAAGACACATGGAGATCTCCAATGAATGCTGGGCCCACAGATGTTAAAGGGATAAAAGACCCTTCCTCAGAGTTGACAAAGAGAGAAAGTCTTCCCCTAGAGCTGGCACTCTGAATTTGGACTTTGGCCTCCTAAACTGTGAGGAGACAAAATTTTGTTTGTTGAAGACATCCACTTGTGGTATTTCTGTTAGAGCAGCACTAGAGAACTAAGATAGTTACTGAGTCAGAATTGACTTGACTGTATAAAACATTAACATTGCATACCAACTGTGAAGCAATCAGCTTCCTGCTATGTAAAACCCCAAACAAAAAAAACATAAAACACACTGTAATGGACTTTACTGACCCTATGGGGCAGGGTAGAACTGTCCAAAACTGTAAATCTTCAAAGAAGCAAACTGTCATATTTTTTTCTCCTGGGGAGTAGCTGGATTTGAACCACAAACCTTTTGATTAGCACTTAACCAAGGAACCACTAGGGCTCCTTTCTGCTATAAAAGTGAGGATAACATTGGTATTTTCTTTCTAGAGTCGATGTGAAATTGAAATTAGATGCTCAGAAACAACCTGATTCAGTGGCTGGTGTGTAGGGCTCTCACTCAAGTATTAGGGTGACCCAACCCCACCAGATGGGTTGTGGGAAACAGGACCTAACTTGATTGGAAAGGGAGCTGAGAAGTGTATGTTGTGAGGAAGGCACAGACCTTTAGGTTGGGACTGGTGTGGCACATAGGTTCACCAAGTTTGACCCAGGCTGGCTGGCCTCTAGCCATCTCAAGGTGTTTCACTTTGCCTGGTAACAAGGAGGTGTGGCTGAGGCTGGGCATGGAGTGGCAGCAGCTGACCTAAAAAGCAACAGAGAGGAACCACGCTCTGGACTCCTCTAGCTCCCCGAAATGCTGGGGGCCAGTTTACTAAGCTGAGGAAGACATCTGAGTGGAAAGAACGTGTCAGGGCTGAGGGCTTGAAAAGGCCTTGGGTCCTTATTACCCACTGGGAGCACGGGTTCAGGCGCAGCCTAGGACAAGAGGTAAGGCAGGGAATTGTAAGAAGAGTTCCCAAAAGCTATGGGGTGTATGTACGGGCCCCTGGCATGAATCAGAGGTCTGGACTAGCAGGCTGCAGAAATGGGTACTGATGATGGTAGTGGTGGGTGGTAAGAACAAAGTCTGTGCCTGCTCCTACAGCTCTAAACCAGGACGAGGCCTCACCAAAAATGTCCTCTGCCTGAAGTTCAGACCATGTACTCACACAGCTACCTGCCGTTCGGGGAGGGCGTCTGGCCTTCGCTGCAGCCCCTCACCTACACCTACCTGCCTGCCCCTCTGCTGCTGCCCCCCATCCAGGCCCACAACTTCTGCAGCAGGCCCCCAAGCCTGAGCGCGGGAGAATGGGCGGCTCCGCGCGAGTACCACTGCTTCTACGGCCCGAGTGCGCCCCTACCGGCCGCGCCGCCCCTGTGGGCCTTCCCGCAGGCCTATGCCGCGGCCCTGAGTCCGCAGTTCCCCGCGACCGGCTACGCGGGGCCTGTGCTGCAGCCTCCAGAGGCGGCGGGCCAAAGCTGGGCGCCGTGGCCAGAGGGCGACAGCCGGCAGATCGAGCTACGCTGGGGCCGGGTGGAGCGTGCGCCAGGGCCGTGCCACGAGCTGCCCGACTACGTACGCGGGGAGCTGCGGCGCGTGTACGGCACGTACCCGCGCACGGATGTGCGCATCACCTACCGCGGCGGCGAGTTCCTGCTGCAGGCCGCCCCGCACGTCCGTGAGCCAGAGTACCGCGTCGAGAGGCGTGTGCTGCGTCGGCCAGCTAGCAGCGGCAGCGAGTCAGCCACTGACGTCCGCTCGGGCGGCAGAGCCAGCAATCCAGCCCGGGAAGCCGCGGAACGCGGCCGCGGGAAGAAGGGGAAGCCCTGAGCGAGGGTGCCGGAGTGCCAGACGGCTGACCCGGGTGAGCACGCGCGCGGCTCTCCTTCCCTGCCCATCCGCCACCAGCCCGAGAGGAGAGGAGCTTCTCCGTCCCTGTGGGGATATAAGTGCAACTGTCACCGTGTTTTTGTTTTTTAACCAAGACCCGGACACTGCTTGCCCCTTTCCTGCACTTCCTTGATTTCTTTCATGAACGATGGAGGAAGGGTGAGAAAGGAACAAGTACATTTCTTGATGTTCTTTCTTTGCAGACTGGCTTGGGAAACCAGGATGTGGGGTGGAAGAAGGATCTGATTCCTTGGTTACCCCAGTACCTCTTCCTCTCCACCTTGTTCTCCCCAGAATCCTTCGCTGCAGTAAACCCTAACTTTCCTTTTCTACCTCACTCCCAAGCCAGAGCTACCCACCCCTCTCTCCAAGCTCAGGGCCAGCGATCCCCAGCTTGTAATGAAAAGTAAATAAATGAGTGAAGTCAAGTTAATGCTGTGAGGTCATTTGTGCTTGGATGTCTCCCCATCTGTGTAATGGGAACCTTACCTCCCTGCCTGGGGTCCAGGGAACTGGCAGGAGTAGAGTTGTTGGAGTGGCCCTCTGGAAGAAGCTGTGTTCCTGGACCAGCCGGATCTATTCCCCTCTTCACCAGCCCTCATAGGGGGTGCAGGCTGACACCCACCCCCATCCTTGCTCCTGTGGCCCAACAACAGGACAGAAGCTCTATTTTTGAAGTGTGCTGGGCGTGGTTGGAGACAGGATACTTGAGACCTAGGTTTAGGGCTGACTCTGACATGTTCTAGGAGTCCTGGTGTGGCACCATAGGATAAGCACGCCACTTCCAGGTCGGTGGTTCAAACTCACCATCTGCACCTTGGAAACCCTATGCAGCATCGCTATGAGTCGGAACCCACTTGACGGCACTTAACAACAACAACAACTGACATTTTCTACTTATGAAACTTTAGGCTCTCTGAGCCAATTTTTTCTCTTTCCATGAACCCTGTACATGGTTGCTATGAATTGCAACTGATTCAAATGCACTCAACACACATGAGCTTCAGTGAAGCTCAACTAGATTTTGTTAAGTGCTGTTGAGTTAGTTCCAACTCAAAATGACTCTTGGTGGGGGTTTCTGAGGCTGTAAATCTTTTGCAGGAGCAGAAAACAGGTGGACTCAAACTGCTGACCTTGTGGTTTGCAGTCCAGTGTTTATCTTACAGAGACACTGAGCTTCCAATCAAATTTGCTTAGCATATTTTATATAAAACCTGGATTCTGAACTCTGTTACTACTAGTTTCATTTTGTTTTCCTGTCTGTTTATTTTTTAAAATAAAAAGAACTGGGATGAAAAAAACGAGGCTGACTGATCTAGTAAAGGTATATAGTCTCAGAAACCCAAAGGAGCAGTTCTGTTCTGTCCTGTGTGGGCACTATGAGTCAGAAGCAACTCAGTGGCAGTGGGGTGGTTTGACTGGATGTTTAAGAAGCAGACTGAACCATTCCACTCCTGTGGAGCAGCTGGTGGGTTGAAACTGCAGACTCATCAGTGTGCAGCCATGCGCTTAAACAGCTGTACCATCAGGGCTCCTTACAATTTCTTAAGTGCCTTTTACTGGCCAGGAACTAGGAATACACTGGTAAAGAAGACAGGCTGGCCATCCCTGTCTTTATGAAGCTTAGAAGACATGAAGATGGGGAAACAAGCAGATAGATAAAGGAAGTTGTTAGAAGCACTACAACAGTAATAAGAGGCCAAGATAGAAATTGGAGTCGGGTGGTGGAACTTAGAACAGGGTAATCAGGAAAAGTTGCTCTGAAGAGGTAACATTTAATATCTAAAGAATGAGAATAAGCTAAGCATACTAAAAGAAGGATGAGGGGAAATCCAGGCAGAAGGCATTGAGAATCCAAAAGACTCAAGAAGAGAAAGTTATCTTCATGCATTCAGCAGACATTGGGGAGTCCACAATGTGCTAGGCAGTATTCAAGGCGCTAGGGTGGTGGTGTTGAAAACCAAATAAGTCCATGGAGCTTACTTTTCAGTACGGGAAATACACAACAAGCAAATAGGTGAATATATAACACCAGCTAGTACTAAGTCATAATGGGATACTAATTAGATTGACCACCCATCTGTCGGTTTGTTCTACTGCCCATTGTGTGGCTATGATTCTGGAGGAAATACCAGTAGCGTCATCCTTGGTGAACAGGTTACTGTGGAGTTTCCACATTAAGACAGACTAGGAAGAGAGGCCCAGAGATCACTGCTGAAAATTAGCCAAAGAAAATCTTACGGATCACAACATAATGTTATCCAATATAGTGCTGGAAGATGGCGCAGGACTCGGTTCTGAGCAATATAACAGTTTATTAGGTTGCAATGAATTGGAGCTGACTCAACCACTACTAACACCACTTTATGTAGAAGAGAAAATTAGAAGTGGCATCTCTGAAGAGGTGACTCTTAAGTAGAGACTGGACTGAAGACCTTTGCAAGTAATTTGAATACTTGGAGGAGAAAAGAAGGCACAAAAACCCTGTCCCTGAACTGTCCCTACCCTGTGAATGAAGGGGAAAGTGTTAGTAAATGAAATGAAAGATGAAGCCAGGTCCTGTGGGGCCTTGAACCCATGTTGAGAACTTTGAGTTTTATTATTAATATTCTTAGTGGATGACAGGTTATGAGCAGAGGAATAATATGACCAGATTTTTTCTTTTTAAAAGAATTTGGCTGCTGTGTAGTGAAGAGACTGAAGAAGAACTGTTATGGAAATACAGAGATCAGTTAGGAGCCTTTTGAAGTAATCCAGTCAAGAGAATACAATGCTCCTTGGTCTTATTTGGCAGTAATGAGGAAGATAAGGAGATAAATGTCCTTCAATAGACATCTTGGTTCATATAGACAAGTATTAAACCGCCAGATGGGCTGGGAACAACTTGAGTCAGAAAATAAGGAAGTGCTCAAAATCACTAAAAAGACAATGGAATCATTTTGAAGGGACTTCCACTGCCAAATCAAGGATATTTTAACAGCCAAACAAATAACAGTAACAGACTATAGCTCACTAGATAGAATAAGAATCCATTAGTCCATACTGATAATAACTAAGTACTAAATAAATAAATATGAAGGGCAAGCTCTTTCTTGCAATAAAAGAAATAATAAAATTAGAAAATCATTTCTAGCCATGAATAGTAATTCAGGTGAGAATCATTTATGGACACTAGAGCTAATGAATGAAATTTAATGAAAAATAGGACATTTATGTAGTTTCAAAGTATGTTCTAATAAGATACTAATTACAAAATGAAAAATAATAAATAGTAGAGAAAGTTGGCCAACGCCACTTTAACCAAAAGATTAAAGTTAACAATATCAATGATGGAACAATTTGACATCATGTGCTTTCTGATATTAAACTAAGGAAACATTAATTTAGTGGAAATGCATAGTCTTAAGGAACTAACAGTTGAAACTAGGTTGAGGAACAACTCCACTGGGCTGTATTCTTTTTTTTTTTTTTTAATCAATTTTGTTATTGTTGAGAACATGCACAACAAAATAGAAACAATCCAACAGTTTCTATGTTTACAATCCTGGATAGATCTTAAAAGAGCATAATTGTCAAGGCAGATGTTTTTTACTGGTTAAGCTAAACTATGGTTTTGGCTTAAGGTTTGAACATTATCTCAGGGCAGTATTTTCATGGGTTCATCCAGCCTCGATGGCTCTGTTGTTGTTATGTGCCATGGAGTCAGTTCTGATCCATAGCGTCTTGTTTAGGGTTTCCAAGGAGCAAGCTGGTGGGTTTGAATTGCCGACCTTGGGTTCACAGTTCAGTGATGATCGAGAGTCTGAATTCCATGAGAATTTGAAATTCTTTTCTGTTTTCTCCCTTTTGACCAGGATTCTTTTATAGAATATTTTATCAAAATGCCTGAATGCTTCACAAATGCCAATGTTATGTTTAATGAAACATGAAAACTAAATTAGTTGTATGATTCTGGATTGGATCCTGGATCAGAATAAAAATTGCTACAAAAGATAATAAGATTTGAATGAGAACTATGGATGAGATAGCACTAGTATATCAATGTTAAATTCTGGTTTTTATCATTGTGCTATGGTTATATAAAATAATGCCGTAGTTCTTAGAAAATAGACAGTGAATGTTTAGGGGTAAAGGGACATCAAATCCATGACTTAATCGAAAATAATTCAGAAAAAAAAACATGTATATTTGCACTATACTACATTTATACAAGGGGGCTTCTAAAAGTTCATGGAAAAATTTCAATATCTTTTCATTCCATTTTTCCATTAACTTTTGAAAGCCCCCTTGCATATATATATATATATACCATACACACACTTTATACATATATATATATACCATACACACACTTTATACATATATGAAGAGAAAAAATTTGGTGCCACTTCAGTTAAGTGTTCAGATGCTAACCAAAAGATTGTCAGTTCAAGCCCTCCCAGCAGCTCCAAGGGAGGAAAATCTGGTGATCTGTTCCCATAAAAGTTACAGCCAAGAAAATCCTTAGGGGTAGTTATACTCTGTCACATGGGGTTTCTACGACTTGGAATTTACTAAGTACCCCAAAAAAACACATACATATGTGTATATGTACATGTGTGTATATATATATATATATAGAGAGAGAGAGAGGCCATACTGTGGTGGCTTGCAGGTTGCTGTGATGCCATTATTTCAAATACAGCAAGATGATGCATGGTGAACAGGTGTCAGCAGAGCTTCCAGAATAATCAGTAATAAGGAGCTGGTGATCTGTTTCTAAAAATGCTGGTCAGTAAAAACCTTATGGGTTTTAGCAGAACACTGATATAGCGCCAGAAGACGAGCCCTTGGATTGGAAGGCACTCAAAATGTGACTAGGGGAAGAGCTGTCTCCTCAAGAATGATTGTACTCATGTGGATGGAGTAAAGCATTCAGGACCTTTATTTGCTGATGTGATATGACTCAAAATGAGAAGAAACAGCTGTGAACATCAACTAATAATTGGAATGTGGAATGTATGAAGTATGCAGCTAGGAAAATTGGAAGTTTTCAAAATTAAAATGGAATGGTTGAAGATAGATGTCCAAGGCATTAGTAAGTTGCAGTGGACTGATACTGACCATTTAAAATCATATAGTCTTCTATACTTGAATAATAAATTGAAAAGGAATGTGGTCATACTCATTGTCCAAAAGAACATCTATCCTGAAGTACAATGCTGTCAGTTATATAGGATAATATCCATATGCTACAAGTTAATACAATTATTGTGATTCATATTTATACACCAGCCACTGATGCCAATGATTAAGAAATTAAAGATTTGTAG